ACAAATAAACAAATAAACAAATAAACAAATAAACAAATAAATAAATAAATAAATAAACAAATAAATGATGGATAATGTGTGTAGTGCATTTATTTATATATTTATATTAATATATAAAATAAATAAAAAGATATATATATATATATACATCTATATACATATCTACACACATACATATATATATATATATTATATATTGCGATATATGATTGCATATTATGATATACAACAGAATATAAATAAATATAATATATAATAATATTATTAAGCAATTTGTATTATTATATAGCCTTATATAGAATTATATATTAGATTATATTACTATATATACAATATATATATTATATATATGCATATATATATATACATTATGTTATTATATACATGATTATATACGATTATATATTATTATATATTATTATATGAGCTTATAATATATTATATTATTGTGTATAATAATATAATAAAATAAATGATTATAAATAATAATATTATATAATAAAATATATAATATACATAACAACACAACACAATAACTAAAAAATAAAATAAATAATAATATATAAAGTACTATACATGCTTGTTGCTATCATAAGCAAAGGCAGGAAGCTGCTTAAATATATCAACAACAAATATATTTGTAGTCTTAATATTTTTATGCTTTAAATAAATCCTAAGCCGCGAAAAAGACAAAAAGGCCGCGAAAAAAGAAACCCTTAAACTGCACCCCACACCCGCTGCATGCACACTCTGCACACAAACCACAAACCCTAAACCCTAAACCCTAAACCCTAAACCCTAAACCCGTAACCCTTAATGGAGTCGCTGCTGTGGAAACCCTCAGTCATTAAGGTCAAGCGAAAACTGCTAAATATAGAATACCCACAAACCCTAAACCCTAAACCCTAAACCCTAAACCCTAAACCCTAAACCCTAAAGCATAGAACTATACACCAGACGTCAACAACCGCAAGGGCTGAGTAGCCCTACAGTTGATTCAGAGCATAATGTAAAGCGGGGTTTAGGGTTTAGCTTGAGGGTTTAGGGTGTATCTTGAGGGTTTAGGGTTTATCTTGAGGGTTTAGTGTTTAGCTTGAGGGTTTAGGGTTTGAAGAGCAGCAGCCTGGAGCAGCATGTTATCTACAGCTGGATCTCACTCTTTAGGGTTTAGGGTTTAGCTTGAGGGTTTATTGTTTTGTATACAGAAGAGTACTTAAACTACGCGAGTGAAAGCCTAGGGTTTGCTTGCATCTGCTCCAAGGGTTTAGGGTTTAGGGTTTAGGGTTTAGGGTTTGCCTGCATGCAGTCGAGTATGAAGCGGAGAAGAGAGAGATTGAGCACAACTTGCTGCTGTTCTTCTAAGCCCCAGCTAAAGGTCATAGGCTGCAGCACTTCTTGCTGCTGCTGCTGCTGCTGCTGCTGCTGCACCCACGAAGGCGGGGGTTTTGCTGCTGCTAATACCAGCAGGTGCAGCAAATTAAAACTCAAGTGCAGCCCTCTTGCTGCTGCTTCTTCATACACCAGCACATGACAAGGGCATCCGCTGCACTGCAGCAGCACGGCGCTGCTGTCGGCTGCTTCTTCTTCATGCTGCTGCTGCTGCTGCTGCTCCTGCTGCTGCTGCTTCTGCTGCTGCTGCAGGGTCTCCTGTTCGGCCTGCAGCGAGAACGGTCCTGGAAGGTAATCTGCTGCTGCTGCTGTTGCTGCAGTCAGGGGAAAAGAAAGGGTTTCTTCATCTTCTGCTGCTGCTGCTGCTGCTGCTGCTGCGGAACTAGAAGACAAGGGTGCAGCAGACGAACTCTCCTGCTGCTGCTGCTGCTGCTGCGAGTCATCCTGCTGCATGCAGCTGTCTTCGTCATCATCGAACAGCCCCAATGAATCCTGCTGCGGTGCAGCAAACTCTGCTGCGGAAGCCATGGTTGCTGCTGCTGTTCCTGCTGTTGCTGCTGCAGCTCTTATTGCTGTTGCTGATGCTGCAGCCGTTGTTACGGTTGTGGGTGCTGCTGCTGTAGCTGCTGTTTGCTGCTGTTGAGGTTCTTGCGTTGCTGGTCTTACTTGTTGCTGCTGCTTCTGCTGCTTCTGTTGCTGTTGCTGTCGTTGCTGCTGCTGCTGCTGCTGCTGCAGCGATTCACAAGGTGATTGCTGTTGTTCGTGTTGTTGCTGCGGCTGCAGCTGATGCTGAATCTGCTGCCGCAAGAGCAGCCTCTCCCGCTGCAGCAGCAACTACACACCTGCAGCAGCAGCAGCAACAGCAACAGCAGCAGTAGAACCGCCTTGTCTTTCATATAATGCAGCAGCTAGAAGTCTCTCTACACCCCCAGCTATCTTCGGGTGTTACAATTGGTGTGCAGCCTTCTATGCCTTCTGCTGCTGCTGCTGCTGCAGCAGCAGCTGCTGCTGCTGTGTGCACTCCCGGTGCTGTTGTTGTTGTTGTTGTTGTCGCTGCTGCTGCTGCTGCTGTTGCTGCTGCTTCTGACGTTGCTGCTTTTCCTACCCAGCA